GCTTTTGTTGGTTCTCAGTCCAAAGAACGCCCTATAGCATGTTTAGTAAAGTTGGTCTGGTCATTACAAATTCCTTTCATTTTTGGTTATCAGAAAATGTACTAATTTCTCTGTCATATATAAGGGACAGCTTTGCTAGGTATATGATTCTTGGTTGGCAATTTTTTTTTCTTTCAGAGTTTTGCATATGTCACCAGGATGCATTTTACTTCTCTTAGTTTCATAATTACCTTAACTACTAGAACCTCCAGGATGTTGAGTAATCTTGTGATTTTAGATTTAAAATAATAAAATTAATTGGCCATGTGTAAATATTACAGTCTCTGATGTTATATCTATTTTGTTTGATTGTTCCTATAGCACTTTTTTGATTATTTCTTGTTTTCCTTGACCTTTCTGTGGAACATTTGGTACCTCAATACCATGCCCCTGAATTCTCTTTCAGGTAGTTCCAGTGCCTCTTCTTTCTCAAAAACATTTTCTAGCTCTTCCTCTTGGTCGTTTGTTTGAGCTATTCTTTCTTGTTTCTGCACGTGAGCAGAAATTTGCTGCTTTTTAGGTATTGTAGTGTTATAGTTATATTAAGTAGATAAATGTATATTGGTGTATTCTTAAGCACTCACCAGATGCCTCCTGGTGGGTATGATCAGGAGATAAACTTCTCTGTTCACTGTTCATACACTTCAATTCAGAGTAGATTTAGCTGATGTTGGTTAGTATAGTCACTGCTCTGTATAGCAGCTGGTTTTGTCTCTTACCCAATTGGGAGGGCTTTTGAGGGTACAGTTGGGGTTTAGTTGTATGGCCACAGTTGTTGTCTACTATCAGGTAAGGCAAGAAGAGAAAACGGTCCCACAAAATAGAAGGAGGACCAAAAACAAAAATCAGAAAAAAAAAACCAAAAAAACAACATAAAGACAATAAAACTAGAAAAAGAAAATACAAAATGAAATACAAAAAAATCCAAAACCTAGAAGCAACAGCAGAAAAATAAGAGTAATCCTTTAGTGCCACCTAATGGACTCTTGCCTTCACCACCATCTTCAAGACAGCCCCACTGTACTGTTGGCACCGGCTCTTTCTGTTGTCTCCTCCCCCTTCAGTTATGTGCCCAACTGCAGGGGGTGTCTACTTGTACGGATCTCACTTTTGGTCACCAGAAAGGAAATGAGTAGAAGGAGAAAAATAAGAAGAAAAAAAAAATAATAATCTCAACTTTGTCTCTGTAAGTTGCATGCAGGCTTCTGATATGGGAATGTTCTCTTGTTTCTCAATCTGCTCATTCCAGTTTAAAATGGCTGTGGTGTGTCATACTGGCCACCCTAAATCATTAGTCACCTTCTCTGTTAATTTTGTTTGAATTTTTTTCTCTTGGCAAGTTATTCTGTTATTAATCCACTTAGTTATCCCTTTATCAGAGTTGTAGAACCATTCTCTGAATCAGTTTTATCTGGTTTTCCGTGTCTTTGCTGAAGAGAGTCTGCACAACTTTCTGCCTGGTCCCCCATCAATCCATTCCCAAGTGCAACTATTACAAACATTGGAATATTTAAGATAAATTCAGATTCATCCTATGTATAGTTTAATTTATTCCATTTTGTTGATTTTCTATAAGTGCAAAGGTTTTTGTTGTTGTTAGGTCATTGTAAAGTGTTAGTAATAGTAGTGTCAGAACCCACCTAACTTCAGGTGGCAAGGATAAAACCAACCCTGATTCCTTTGAGGTAAATCTGATATGCCTCCACCCTCTCATCTTTTACCAATTTTGACACCAGTCATCCCTCCAACAGCACTCTATTTCTCTTCTAGGTTCTATAGTCCACTGCAATGGCTCCTCATAAATCACAACCCATACTTATAGCTAAGTGGTTTATTAAGGATGTAACATGCTACAACTCAGAGTCAGGATCAGGAAACATATAAACAAAGTACAGAAGGCTCCCCAGAAGTGGAGAGCACAGCCCACCCTTCTTATGTGGACAGCTCTCTCGGCCCACAAACAAGTGGCCTCTATCCACTACCCAGTTTCAAAGACACTCCCTCATTATAGTATTTGTTACAGTAAAGCCTCACTCCTGATACCAAAATCTGAATTTGTCTTCTACTGCTGCATAATAAATTACTACAAATTTAGCAACCCTCCTGAATAGTGTCCTCTAAACTTCATGTCTACCCACAGTCTGTGAATGTAACTTTGGAAAATAGGATTTTTGCTGATTTAATCAAACTGAGATGAGGACATACTGGATTAGGGTGAGTCCTAAATCCAATGTGATTAATGTCCTTATAAAAAAAAAGGGAAATTCAGACACAGAATCACAGGGGAGAAGGCAACATGAAGACAAAGCACAGATTGGAGTGATGTGTCTACAAGCCAGGGAGCATCAAGGAATACCAGTGAGTAACTACCAGAATGTAGAAGAGGCTAGGAAGGATTCTTCTAGCCTTCAGGGGGAACATAGTCCTGCTAGCATCTTGATTTCAGACTTCTAGCCTCCAGAATTGTAAGGGAATAAATTTCTGTCATTCTAAGTTTTTGGTAAGTTGTTTCAGCTACTCTAGGAAACTTACATTGTTGTTATTAAGTGTTGTTGAGTCGGTTCCAACTCATAACAACACTGTATATAGCTTCTGAATAGCAGCTAGTGCGTTTGAACTGCCAACCTTGGGGGCAGCAGTCCTGTGCTTATCCTACAAAGCCACTCCAGGAAACTTATATAGTAGCTTAAAACAACATATACTACTGCCCTGTTTCTGTAGGTTAGGAACCCAGGCACAGTTTATCTGGGTTCTCTGCTTCAGGGTCTCATCAGGTTGCAATTCAAATATTGACTGGGTCTGCAGCCTTAACAGAAGTTTTACTTGGGAAAGATCTGTTTCCAAGTTCATTCAGGTTATTGGTATAATTTAGTTCTCTGCACCTACAGGACTAAGGCCTCTGGTCCTAAGGGCCCTATTATAGGAGCTGGCTTCTTCAAGGAAGTAGGAGGATCTCTCTCCCTCAAGTCAACTAAAATCTGTTTAGTAGTACCTACTGTGTGGGGGGGCACTGTATAAATAGATGAACTAGATAGATCAAGTCCCTGGCTTCAGGAAGCTCACAATAAAGGGATAGACAGATCTGGGAAAGCCCAAATTGACATTTGAACTGAGACTTGAGTGACAAGAAGCCATTCAAGCAGATCTGGGAAACAATGTTCCAGACAGAGAAAAGGAACTCATCAACGATGCTGAGCTCTGCCTGGCTGGAGTGTAGTGGGAAGGCAGGGCAGCATGACGTCAGAGAGGTTGGTAGGACCAGAATAGGAGAGGCCTACTAAACCAGATAAGAAACTTGGAGCTTTAAGTTTAAATTTTCTTTTATGGTGTAGAGACAAGGGAAGAATGTGGAATGACTTAAGGATGTCTGTTAGAAGACAAAGCAGGTTGCCCATAGGTCAAGAACACACCTCTGGTTCAGCCTCACACATGGAATGGCCTTCCAACAAAATCTACTGCCATTGAGTCGATTCTGACTCATGGTGATCCTAAAGAGGTTAAAGAGACTGGACCGTGGCCTTTCTTGTTAACAGCCCAATGCCTAACCCACAGAGTCATCAGGGCTCCTTTCTAATCAGCTTGTTGGTAAATGCTGTCAAGTAGGTTCCAACTCATAGCGATCCTGGGTTGTTGTTAAGTTTCCACAGACTTGGTTACAATTTATAGCGATGCTATACAGGGATTCTGAGCCTGCAAGTCTTTACCGGATCCGAAAGCCTCGGCTGCTAGATTTGAACCTCCAACCTTGGCTGTTAGTAGTCCAGTGCTTACCTATAGGACCACACTAATCATCCGGTGGTGGTGGTTGATGGTTGTATGCCGTGGTTCTGACTCATAACGCCGCTGCACAGGGCTCCGAGGCTATACATCGTTACCAGAAAGCTTCATCTTCCTCCCGCAGAACAGATATAATTTGAAACAGGACCAAGGTTGGTAAAGCGCGCACTCTACCAAGAGGAAGCTTGGGCCTCTGCGCCCGCCGTAGACGTCGTGACAGAGGCAGCTCGTTGCCTTGGAGCCGGCGAGACGCGGCCTTGGCCTCCCCAGCAGTGGAGAGCGCCGGCCGCAGACCTCCAACATCAGTCACCATGTCGGTGTTGGACGCACTTTGGGAAGACCGGGACGTCCGCTTCGACGTGTCCTCACAGTGAGTAGCCAGGATTCCCCAGGGACCTGTAGCCTGCAGAGGGCTCCGCACCGCGAAATCAGGACCCGCCTCCTCGCCCTCGCGAGGGTGGGAGGGGGTTTTCGCAGGGTGTCTGCACCAGGGAGTTCCCAGATCGGCCTGGGAACTGTGACTCTCCAAAGGCCGGCAACACAGCAGGAACATATAGACGATCGAGTTTCAGTCCAGTGTAATCCACGGCCGGGTCCTGGAAAGCAGAACCCAAACACAGCCCGGGGCCACCTACCCTTGAGGCTCTGGTTTCCCGCAGTGTAAGGAAGATAAGCCCGGAACTCAGAAAGCCGGGCTTCTAAACTAGGTTTGGAAACATGACTTCTACATGCCATGCTTGAGTCTTATCTGCACAATATGGGAGATTAGAATAAGCATTCTCCATAATTCCTCAACACTGAATTTTACAGGGTTGAACTGTCTCCATAGGATTTCCAAAACTGAATAAAATCTTGGCGGAAGCATACTACCACATCTTTCTTCCAGTCTCTGACTTTTTGGCTAGGAACCCAGCCTCCTGCTGATAACGACCAAAAACCAAACCCACCGCCTTCGAGTGGATTCAGATTCATAGCGACCCTTTGTAGCACCTCAGAGGCTGTAAACCTTTATGGGTGGAATCTCATCTTTCTGCCCGAGAGCAGCTAGTGGGTTTGAACTACCAAACTGTTGTTGTTAAGTCAATTGCGACTCATAGCGACCCTGTGTAGGTTTCCCAGAAGTGACGCGCATTTGAACCACCAACCATGCGGCTCAAATAGGCCTGGCAGCCCTGTACATTATCTGCAGCGCCACCAGGACTCCAAACTGCCAACAAGGGATACAAAATTTACAGGAAATAGTGTACACACATGCAGACATCCCTAATCTAGTGCAGGAGATGTATTTGAGCAACAAACTATAATAAATGTGGTAAATACCATCCTGAAAATAAGAACACAAATTGGGGACCATACTCCACAGAGCAGTTAACTGTGCCTGGGTAAGCCTCACAGAAGAAATAATACTTGAGTTGAGATTTGAAGGGTCGATAGGGCCTGGTCAAGGTACATGGCAATGAGTTGAGGGAGGAGAATGAAGAATCCTCAATAGAAGCAGAGTCTTGACTAGAAGGCAGAATATGCAGCAGTGAATGGATGGAGATTCAAACAGAAAGGTAGCCAAATTATGAAATGCTTTCCTGAGGACTTTTGAACATTACCAAGGCAGTAGGATAACCCAGAAGGCTTGTAAGCAGGGAAGTTAGCAACTATTGATGCTTTTGAGTTATGGTGTTGGAGGAGACCATCAAAGTGCCATGGGGCTGCCAAAAGAACCAATAGATCCATTTTGGAAGGAGTGCATCCAGAGTACTCCTTGGAGGCCAAGATGGCCAAACTTCGTCTCTCATACTTCAGACATATTGTCAGAAGGGACCAGTTGCTGGAGAAGGATATCATATTTGGTAAAGTGGAGGGTCAGAGAAAAAGAGGAGGACCCCCAGTGAGATGGATTGGCCAAGTGGCAGCATCGATGGACTCAAGCGTGGCAACTGTAGTGAGGTTGGCCCAGGATCCAGCAGGGTCTCGTTCTGCTGTGCATACAGTCACTATGAGTCGGGACTGACTCGATGGCACCTAACAACAACAACCAGATATTCTAGTTGGTTTTGATCTTCTAGAGTGTATTCTATCAATCAGCAAGCTAGTCCTCATTCTTTATTTCCTTTTGTTTCTTATATGTAATTGTTTACCAAGTCCCGATGATGCTTTGAATATATCTCTTCTTTAACCTGTTCCTTTGTTTTCTTCTTTGCTCTCCTCTGAAACCTCTGAAAGTTCTCCATTGTCCACAGAATAGGGCTCATTCCTGTCAGATGGGCATTACAGGTTCTCCACAATCTGGTCCCTCCTTCTTTAGCCAATCAAGTTTCTCACTGTCTCTCAATAGCCATCTTCCCCAGCCAGACCAGTCTTTCTACCAACTCGTAATTGCTTCCTCCTGGAGTCTCTTCTCTCCCTTTTATTTCTCAAAATCCAACCCCTTCTTTAAGTTCTTGAAGACCTTGTTTTCTAGTTTCATTTGGTAGGGTACCATTTCTGTTACTGGCTGTTCTGTATGCACATGTTTGTTCTCTCCCTAACTAGATTGTAAGCAAGTAATGTTGTAGTTGTAAAATGAAAACCTTTATGTTTATTTTAGGCAAATGAAAACAAGACCTGGAGAAGTCCTTATTGATTGTTTAGATTCAATTGAAGATACCAAAGGAAATAATGGGGATAGAGGTGAGTACATTTTCTAATGTAGCTCTTATTTCTGGCATATTTTACAAATATCAAACCACAGTAGATAAGACTAAGATATGAAACATCTTATGAAGATGTATTTGTGAGACTTAAAAATCACATAAGATGTTTTTTGGTTCTAACATTAGCTGTATGTAATGTAACTTTAAAAGCACAGGAGCCACCCTTGGCCACCCTTTAGGTCTGGAAAGGAACTCAACCTTGTGGCCAATTTTCAGCTAAGCAATAGATATATAGGTATATAGGGGGGAATCCAACAACACTAGTAAGGTATGCTCACCATATATGGGCAACTATTCAAGATCAAAAGGACAACATTTACCTAAGGACAATGTTGAGAAAGGACGGGAAGGTGGGTGGAATGGAAGTAAGAACCACAAAAAGGAATGAGATAACAGTTATTTCATGGAGGGGATTGCAATCATTGAGATGAAACAAAGTATGATTTGTTAAATGTAAAACTGATGATTTTAAACTTACACTCAATTCACAATAAAAAGTTTCAAAATACAAAAAAACCTCGGAGCCCTGTTCTCAAGGAACACAAATATTTCTGTTGGCACAAAGTAATCTTGATGAAACCTCAATTACCTTGAGGAGGCCTAGGGCAAGGTTGCTGGATCTCATAATTCTCAAGAGCTCAGATATGTGACAGCCCATCTACTGGTCCGGAATATAACAGTATTCTACTCAGCATATATGCATTGAGTGCCAAATCCTATAGTTGTTCTTTGGAGTAGGGAGGACAGAAACCCTCCCTGACCAGAAATCTCCACTACACTGGCACTTCTTGTTCCCAATACCCCACCTACATAAAACAATGCATAGTCTTCCTAATAAAAATAATTCTGTATGTGTGCACACACCACAGAAACCTTTAGTCAAAGGAAATTTTTACAGGAGATTGCAGAACTTCTGATTTCTAAGGAAATGGAAAAAGGAAGGTAATTCCTGTCTTCTAGACATACCTCTCCTCTCCCTTCTAGCAGTTTGAAAAGGACCAAGTTAAGACATTGCCAGTTCAAGAGACCCCAGCTTGAAACTATAAATACTCTAAAATATTTGTTGTTGTTGTTGTTAGGTGCCATTGAGTCGGTACCGACCCATAGAGACCTTATGCACAGCAGAACGAAATACTGCCCGATCTTGGGCCAACCTCACTACTGTTGCCACACGTGAGTCCACTGATGCTG